TTAGTAGCTTTTTCAAGGATATATTCTTAGGGGCCTGAAATGGTGTATTTCCCATTTCAGTGAAGTTTTTAGATTACTCAAATTACAGCAAAGGCATATTAAAGAGAGATATGTTTCTCAGTGATGGAAAGCTGGCATCTACCCTGACAACCAGGTATATCTCAAAAATGAGAAACGTTACCCAGGTTAAAGGCAGTCAGGAGTGGTGAGGAAATACTGTGAACTGAAGAGCTGAGGACTACCTACAGGGAATAGTTATTTTTTGAACACCTGCTGCCACATGGGGTTGGGAGTCTGTGTTACTAGATCTTCTAACTTTATAAGCAAAGCTGGAAATCTGGACTTTCAAGTAAAATCTTCTGACTTTTAAGTTGTTTTTAAAATATTTGGGTCTGGCCACAGTGGCTGACGCCTGTAATCCCAACACTTTGGGAGGCAGAGGCAGGTGGATCATTTAAACCTGGGGGTTTGAGATCAGCCTGGGAAACATGGTGAGATCCTGTCTCTACAAAAATAATCTAGGTGTCGTGGCAGGTTGAGGCTGCAGTGTGCCATGTTTGAGCCACTACACTCCAGTCTAGGCACAGAGCAAGACCCTGTCTCAAAAATACACACACACACACACACACACACACACACAGACACACAGACACACACACATGTGCACACGCTCTCTCTCTCGCTCTCTCTCTCTCTGTCTCTCTCTCTCTCTCTTCCCCCCACCCCCCCACACACATACATTTTGTGGCAAAAGAGAAAGGACAAGACAAGTCTCTATGTTAAATATGTCCTGCAAGCCGTCACTTTATGACATCTGAGAACAATGTTATCATTTGCACCAAAGAGAAGCTAGTAAGGCATACCACAACAGGATTTTTTATTTACTAAGATGTTTTCATTTCCTAAGGATAAAATAAAAAAATTGCTACAAACTCGGTGCTTTAAAACAATAGAAATTTATTCTCTTATGGCTCTGGGTGCCAGAAATCCAAAGTCAGTGTGTCAGCTGGGGATGCTGCCCTCTCAAGGCTTTAGGCAGAGTAGCCTTTCCTGTTTCTTCCAGGTTCTGCTGGTTCCAAGAATTCCTTGGCTTGTGGCTGCAATACAACTTCTGTGTTCATCGTTTTGTCTTCTTGCTGCCTTCTTGTGTGTCTCTATTCTGTATGCCTCTTATAAGGACTCTTGTCATCGGATTTACAGCCGTCATGAGTAATCCAGGATCATCCCAACTAGAGATCCCTAAATTAATTTTATTTGTGATGTAACATATTGTTATACAATACAAAGATATTTTCCAAATAATGTCATATATGTAAGTTTGGGGGGTTAGGACATTGACATTTCTTAAAAGCCAAATTTAAACCACTGTCATAGGTCATATTATAGAAATATAAGAGGGCATGAAACAACAATGTAGGGTTTAAAAATAGTTGTAACATTACCACCCAGTCAAGAATGCTAGCAGAAGGACAGATGCCCCTACACCCTGTTCGTGTCCATCATATGTCTTTCCACTCTTGTACCACCAGAAATAATCTATTTTTTTTTAGAATATCCTACTTTCAATGCAATATTTTTATTGTTTTTCTTTGTAGTTGAACTGCGTGTGACTGCCTCATTAAACAATGTGTCTTAGTTCTGCCCAATTTTAAACTTTATGTGACATAAATGATACTGAATGCATTCTTTTGTTCCCAGTGTGCACATTTTTTATGAGATTCATACACGTTTCTGTGAACAGCAGTTTTTTCTGTGTATTTCATAGACATTTGCTTTGTTTCAGATTTTGGTTATTGCAGGTGTTACCACACTGTACTTTCTTGAATGCATATTGTGGTGCATGTGTGTAAACTTTCCCTAGTTCATGTACTTAGCAGTAGAATGGCTGGTCTTTAAAGTATGCTTATTAGCAGTGTTAATAGAAAATGGTGACCTATTTTCAAATTTTTATGCTAACAGGGAATTCCCTGTTTCTCACCCTAATCAGTGCCTCTCTCGTATCTTCTCTCTTCTTCTCTCTCCTCTCCCCTTTCCTACATTGCCTCTTTTCCCTTTTCTTTCTCCTCTCTCCTTTCTCTCTCTCTCCCCCTGCTGTCCTTTCCTTTTTTTTTTTCTTTTTAATTGCTTCATTCACTAATTCCGTTAGTGTCATATGCCTATGATGTGCTAGGAGCTTTATATTTTCTGAATCATTGGGCCATTCTTCCTAAGAAGGAAGCAGACTCTCTGTTTATAGGTTGGTGAGATGGAGGCTTGGGTGCCCCCTGGCACCTAGACCAACAGGGATGTTCTAATTTTCAATACATGACTAATGTTGAGAAGGCAGCCATTAGGAATCCTGGTCATTTTCTGATATTGATGGGCCACAAGAAGCACCATCAATATCTGTTAGCTCCCATCACCCGGGCAGAGCAGGCAGCTGTGTCCTCTGACCCCCTGTTGATATTCTGATAGGTTTCCCTTCATACCGCACACTTAAAAGAGCCTTTTCTCTCTCTCACCTGGAAAGGTCACCTCCCAAACATGCCGCCTGGGATGAATTATGTTTCTATTGATTTGTACTCTTTTGTCTCAACCACAAATTTCATGCAGTGTTTGAGGGCAGTAACCAAGTTAAAAGAGGAAAGGACCAGATTGGTATGGTCTTAACACCAGCTAAATTCCATTTCATTTCTCTGTGTTTTTCTAAGTTTACTTTCAAGATTGCAGGAATATTGCTCAACATGTAACCAATGGGGTATTTGCTTCAGAAGCAACTGGAAGTTAATATTTGAAATTAAAATTTATCTGTCTAATATAAGGAGCAATTTCATACTAAAAATACTATCTGCCTCATATAAAAGAATGACCTTCTTCCTTTAACATGACTCTGATTCTGTTTCCAGTGAACTAAAACTCTGGTCTTGGTGCCTTGATTTACATTTAAATACTCTTGACAATTTAATAGTAATGGGATATGTGCTCAGATCACTTTTCTTTTTGGCTCTAGTAGGAAGTTTGGAAGAAAATCTCAATTCAGTATGACATGCACATATATTAATAGTCTAATTTCTGCTTCTACCCCTGACTTTCCCTCTCTGTTTCACCTTAGTAACTGTATATCTCGAATTGGACAGCCTATTTCTAAAACAAGATAGGTAGAATCTTTAGGCTGCAGAAACTGTAATGACAGACCAAGAGTGATGTCTTGGTAACTTCAGCCAAAGGGAAAACTTTAAAGCATTCTGTATCAGAAGCTCTGTAGCCATTAATAAGAGGGATGGTGTGTGCCTAACCCAGAGAGCTGCCAAGTACATTCCAAGGCATTGTAAATACATGGCTACAACAAGATCTCTCTAAAAAACTTAAGTCTCTCATGGACAATTTTATTCTTTGTGAATGAAATTGAACAGAGGCACACTTCAAGACTTAATTTATTTTTTGCCCTAGCTAGAAGAATAAACAGACTCAGATCCTAAAAGAATCTGACTCAGCTAAGAAGAGTCAAGTCAGCAAGAAGTCACTTAATAGAATAATATCCATTTGACCTCTGCTTCTGCTTCTTTGAATTGTTTAAAGAGGAGCTCCATTTTCTGAAATTGGCTTTGGCTCAGGGATGTCAGATCGTGCAGTGGATTTTACCATTTTGATGGACTTACCCATTTCAAAACCTGAACACATGATGGTTTTGCTCTTCTTACTGTAAGAGCAGTTGCTGATACAGTTAGTTGGTGACAGGGCATCTAGCAGAGAAAGATAAGTGACTTGGTAAGTGGGCCACAGAAGAGCTTTATAACAGTAGTTCTCAACCTTTGGGTTGAGGGAATCCGCTAGGGAAGTTGAGAGAAAAAGAAAAGTCTCTGATACTGCCTACCTCAATGAGCCTGGACTCTGCATTCTTTATCAGCTCTCTAAATGATTGCAATGCCCACCAAAATGTGAGACTCACTGCCCTATAGCATTGGTGTCAGAAACCAGGTTCTGGAAGTAGAGAGATGTGGGTTCAAATTCTTCTCTAAGCCTTCATTTCTAACTTTAGAGTGTGGACCTGAGACAACCTACTTTCTATGGTTGATGTGATGTTTCATGAGAAAATGTACATAAAATACTTATTTTTGTAACTTGTAAGAATTATTCAATTTCATGGCCTTACAGATAAGGGAAAACTTTGAACAATTTAAGTAATCTGAAAGTAAGTTTATTCTTTTTCCCTCTGGTTTTTGCTCATAGAACTCAACTTTGTAAGTTTCCAAAATCTTTCCATTGCCACAAACAAGATACTGTAGGGGAAGGAGATGGTGTAATCTTCATTGTTGCAGATGGATAAAAGGAAAATTGGATAGGTTAAGTGTGTACCTGCTCATGTTTCCATGACTGAGTGAGATTGATAGATTTGGGATTTGAGTATAGGCCTTGGGACACTGAATCTAATCTCTTTTTCCACTTTGGCTCTTGCAAGATCTTATGACCTCATAGGAACATTTAAAGTTACACTGTCCTAAAGTGGAAGCCAGAGAGTTCCCTGGGGCTTGGCCTCCTCATTCCTGCTCATCTGGACACTCTTTGTACTTAGGATTGAGGTTTATATTGGGTTCGGTTCACCTACAGTCTCTTCAAAAACTACTACTTCATATTTGACCAGAAAGTCAATTATATAATGGAATATTGCTAAGTGAAAGAAGGTTCTTAAAATAATACTGGATCAGGAGCTGACATGGTCAGGGATGCAGAGTGTGGCATAATGGTTGACCTTAGGCCTGTTACTATTTCTTATAACCCTCTGTTTTCTCATCTACAAATGGATCTTATGCTGGTAACGACCTACCTGTCAGATTGAAGTAGAAATTTAGTCATAGATTAGTGCAATTAGAATATTTTTCCTTCTTCTGTCAATTTTTTTTGATTGACACACAAGAGTATCCAGTCCACTAAAACAAAGACAAAAAATCACTTTTATTTTTATTCCTGAATGTGCCAGCAGTGCCCTGCAAGCACTGATCTTTTAATTTAACTCTGTTTAGGGTTCGATGCCTACTTTACATCCCGCACACTTGAAAACAACAGAAGAAATGTATGGTTTGCCGAATACTGGGAGGAAAACTTCAACTGCAAGTTGACGATTAGTGGGTCAAAAAAAGAAGACACAGATCGCAAATGCACAGGTAATTTAATTCTCATTGTCCTTCTCCTATGACTCGACTTGGCTAGCGTGAAATGTCTGCATAGTTGACAGAAGGAAGCTTGGCTGGAGACAAATTGAAAAAGTAAATTAAATTTTACTAGATTATTCAGAAAATGGAACAGGAGCATACATCTTGCAGGACAAAAGAAGCACAGACAAGAATGTATTCTTTTCTGCCTGTCTGTCTAGCAGTAATTGACATATTCAGCGAATCTTTGAATTCAGAAGGGGTCATGTTGCTTTGAATGCTCTCGTTCATAAATGTTAATTCACATTCCAGTGAGGGGTATGAAGTCATTTTCACATAGACCAAAATCTCTAACAAATCCCATGCCATCGCTGGATTTAACTGTTACCATGGACAGTGTACTTGATCAAAGAAACAGAGTGATTGGGTTTAGAATAATGATAATTCCAAATAATTTTTGTAACGTCTAAGTTAATGAGTTACCTGCTATTTAAAATATTCACAGCTCCTTATATGTAACCTTGCAAGTGAAAAATAACTGTGTTTAAGTTAGAAGAAAAGTCACATCCTCATTCGTTTATTCACTCACAAATATTTACTGGATGATTCCTTTCTGCTATGTACTGTGCCAGGTACTGGTGGTCCGGTAGTGAGCAAACTAAGTGAGAACTCTGATTCTATGTTGCTCAGAGTCTGGTGAAAGGAATTTGACTTTATTCCAGTGAGATCACAAACAAATTCATAATTACAAACTGCAGTCCATGTTCTGAGTGTTATGAGGGTATATAACTAAGGAAGTTTACTCATGTTGAAGGTAGAAGCTGTCTTAAAAGACCCTTTTGAGAGAATGATACTTTGAGTCAAGAAAAATTGAAGGAATAGGCTTTGGCTTGTCAGGAAAGGAAAAGAAGTTAGGTAAGTCTGATTAAACATGGTAAATGGCTTGCAGTAAGAGGCACTTTTATGCTTCTGAGGATGTGAAAAACAGAAGAAAAACATGACCGAAGTATACAGATAGAATATATGAGCCAAGGCTGCAGATGTAGAGAGATAGTCAGGAACTAAGTCATTTTAGGATGTATGTAGGCTGTGGCTTTTATTCTAAGAGCAGTGGCAACCTTGAAAGGGTGTTACACAGAGTATGGCATGATATACCATCTTATCAACTAGACTTCTTTAAATAGCCTTTAAGATTTGTAATGATGACTTTCAGGTATAATAAGGTAATAGGGCTGAAATGTTTTATGTATGATCAAGAAAGATACATACATTCATGTGGGACATACTTTCTACCTCTATTTCGTCTTTGCATTATAGCTGTTTGAATACCCGTCACCCACATGTTGTAGATTAATGCACTCAACAAGCATCTATTAATCAGGTAATAGCATGGTATTAGGAACACCATGAAATCTATGAGGATACTTAAATGTAGTCTCAAGGAGGTTTCCGAGAAACAGGAGCAATACATAAGATATGACCAGAAACATGAATAAAAATAATGATACAAAATCCATATGATACATATATTAAAGGTATCATTCACTTAACTGGAATGTCAAATTTACCATTTTTTCCAGATCATACTGTACTGCAGTAGTTCAGAGTTATGGTCCTTAGAATAGTGGAGGAAAAGGGAAAATATTAATTTAATGTTGACTAGACCTAGGTGACACAAAGCTTTCAAGTGGAAACTGAAAAAATTAGTTTGACATCTGGATAATTTGTCTATATGACAGGGGTTACACTCAAGTGCACTACAAGTATGTAGATGATTGATGACAGTTTTCCTGGGTTCTTTCTGACATTTCGTTTTCTGTAGAGTGTCTGGAAGGTGGAATCGATTGATGGACATTAGAATTGTCCCAATCTGAGGACATATCTCTGACTTTTATGAGTTTTAATACAGGCTGTTTCATATGGCGCCATGTTTTAGGGTTGATCATTGAGAATTTGGGTTTATACAAACTAGTAACGTCATTATGTAAATCTCTACCTTACAAAAATGGAAATGGAAGTGTTTGTGTCTTCCTAACTAACATGCTTCCTCCATGTGGATATTTATAATCACATTCACTAAATTACTGGTGGCCCCAAATTATTTGTACGTTCTCCCCTTTCTTCTTCCCTCCTCATTACCTTCTTGGTGATGAGCTCTCCCATACGGAATGGAGTTAGATACTGTTATCATCACCGTATTCTCTTACTTTTACACCTATTGATATAGTGGTCATGTTTTGTTTTTCTTGTCATTCCTTTTTCCAAATCCAACCATATGTACATCATTCTTTGATAGTGCCTCCAAAAAATACTATTTTAAAAATCATTACATTTATGTATACTTCAATTTGGAAGTGAAGAATCAGAGGGACAGGAAACCTGGTTATGTGCTTTGGTAACTGGATTTTAAGAAACCAGAACAGTCATGTTAGAAAAGACAATCAGATGAGGAGGCTAGTAGTCCGGCACCGAAGATCCGCACTGTGAAGACAATGAATGTTTTGATCTGAGGACTGCAGAACATAGCTCCATTCACAGAGCTCTCTCTGTGACTCGGCTTCTGCTAAAGAATAAGGAAGTCTTACTAATACAACATTCACTCTTAAGATGTGAACACAAATTAAAATGTAAACTTTATTTTTTTCTTTTGAGCTGGTTAGCCTCCTTAGCCATACCAAACTACAAGTGTTATATATTAGCTGTAAGTAGACCAGCACTGAATCAGCCATTTGACAAATTTTAAAGATGAGAAATGTGACACATACTGTTTGGAGAGAGCAAATTCCTGAGGTCAGAGTATAACAAAGAGTTCTAAAATCACAAGAAAATGCAAAGTCATGAGAGGAATAATAATTATTGAAAAATATTCATTAAAAACATGAGATAAGCTGTTCACACATCATAATTTTACTTTGGGCTAGATGTGCATGAATTCTTATAGAAAATGACCTGGAAAACTATGTAATCTTTATTTCTGTAAATTATCCATGTTCACACTTGAAGTTTCCTCCAAGCAAGGGATTTCATCACATTCTTTAGTATTTCAAGAACATCCCCACTTTCCTTGATACCGAATCCCAGGGTGTGCCAACCCAAGAGCTAGACATTCTTCCTCTTATCTTCCATCTGAGTAGCCTAATAACCACTGATGTAGATCGAGCATTGGCAGTAAGCCATCCTACTCATGGGATATGTTGGCTGTCATCACAGTGTGAAATGCAGTTCAGCAAGTATATGGTTGTCCAAGCTATCACAGAAAACACAACCTCCATTTGACAGTCACTCAAGCCATTCATGCTACTTTGTGGAAGAGCTACATTATCTCATGGAGACAGTGCTAGCTATACACACAGTCATCTCTTCTAGAGAGTTTGCCACATACTATTTGTCATTTGCAAGTAGAAATATCAGATGTGATTTTTTTTCTGGGTTGTATTTATGTTCCCCTACCCACAGCCCACCAGCTGAGTGTGTCCACCCTTGAGACTTGCCTGGGTGCTGCTGGCACAAAGACCAGTTTAGAGTATGACCTCTTTGAGAATAACATGTTTCTATGGAGATACTAATGGTCAAGGAAAGCAGAAACATTACACAAATGAACTGACATTTCTGAAAAAAGAGATTGAGGCCATCTTCGAGTAAGAAAAATCATTATACCGCAGGGGTTAAGAAACCATAGGTTTTGTAATAAAAAAGACCTCGCTTCTGTTCTAAGGACATCCATGACCTCTCATACCTGTGTGTGCTTGGATAACATCTTTTTTTTAACCTCTCAAAGCCATATTTTATTTTTGAAGTGCAAATAGCAAACTTTACATTTGAAATTGTTGAGTGGATTAAATAATTTAAATAAAGTGTCTGAAATTTTATTAGCACACAGTAATAGCTAACAATAGAAATTGCTTTCTGCTGTTTTGAGATGAATTCAGTGGCCTGTGAGGAATTCATGTAGATCCTCTTGTCTGTCGTTCCTTAGAGATCAGGATGTATGTCAACTCCAATAAGAAAACAAATACATAAGTATAGACAAGAATTTTTACTGTGGTGCACATTATAGGGTGAGGTATTGAATATCAAAAGTTTGCAGATAGACATCATACAATGTTATGCTATGAGTGAAACATGAAGCTCAAGGCTTAAGGAATTTTAATGCTGTAACACAGAGTGGGTGTCCAAGGCTCAATGACACTAGGACACAAACTCTGCATTATAGAAAGTGTTATATTCCAAAGGTTCCTCATTTTCTTCTGATGAGCTGTATCCTTACATAGCTAATGACATTTATAAGATTTTAACACTCAACCTGTCTTATCCCAAAGTTTGCTTATTTTCTGAGAAGATTTATCCTTACCTAGCTAATAGCATAGAATACCTTAGCTCCCAAATGCATTCTTTAAGCTCAGAAGAAGCTTCTGAGAATATGAATATGTTTGCCTATGACTGGGCAACATCTTATGATGTATCAATCATAACTCATGACTTAGCCAGAACATTTGTCTAACTAATATCATTGTTGTATGAAATGCCACTTGAATACTGATTTATTAGAGTTACCTATTTGCTGAAAAGTGGGAACTCACCATTTACAAATCTATCATCTAATGATGGGACAATTTAACATTCAGAGATTTGTTTTCCTTTTGAGATGACAAGATGAATAAAATGGTGACTTTTTTTGGTAACAACCTTTAATGTTTCATTGCTTGGGCTTTCAAGTCACACAATAAGCATATTCAGTTTTGATTTGTGTCCCTAATCAACCCCTGTTTACTGTGGAAAGATATCAAGGGCTAAAGAGTGTACTCTGATAAATGTCTACATTTTGGAAGTTCAGTATTCTTAAGCTGTGTTTTTCTTTACACCTCACTTCTCAGAGCTAATAGTTCTCTTTTTCAGTGGAGCTAAAAACAAGCCTGTTGATAAATGCGGTTAATGAATAAGCCATGTATTTCTTATCATTTCTTTTCACCAGGTCCCAGGCTCATTAGAGCCTATATAATTCATTAACAAGA